GGAAGTTCCATCAAATATGACAGCCACATACGGTGCACCTGATATCTCCTTCTTTAATTCATCTTCCTCCTTGCAGTGCAGGAATGGAATCAGCTGAGCCATGTGAGTGCTATATGTTAAACGTCCGTAACAACTCTCCAGGAGAGGGTGCAGGTAATCCACCTTACTGAGCGGAATTCCAGCCTTTAGGAAAGCCTCAACAACGTTGGCCCGCCGAACAACAACATCTTCGGACACAGCTTGTGACAGACCGCTTCCCGCCAGGTCAGACGTGCTTTCACTTGAAAACCTTTTCCACGAAATAGTTATTGCCTGTTGGTGAAGTTTCGCCCGCTTCTTACTCTCCTTTCCTTGCACATGTCGTTGGCTATTCACATGCGCTTTCACAATGCTGTGCTTGATACTGATCGTCTAGTTACAAGCTGTGCAGTAGAGTTTCCCCGCAGAAACTGAGAGGTACTCGCCCGGGAATTCTGCTATCCGATCGTGGGTGCTGCGTCGAGGAGCTGCGGTGGATTTCCCAGCTGACACTCTCACGCGCTTTGCTTCGGAATTCTGGCTCGAGTCGCTCGACTTTCCACTTCTTGCAAACGACCTTTTGCGGGCAATAGCAGCTGGTTGTGCTGCTGGAAGACTGTCGGCTGCCCCGTTCTTTTCCAAGTCAGAGCTTCCCTCTTCGCTAACAAAGCCATCACTCTCACTGCTCTCATCTTCTGTTTCAAAACCAGAGCCTCCGTCTCCCATAGCTGCCATCGGGCCAACAAATTACGACAAGGTACGACAGTACAACTAGTTTGCTCACTTATAGCGAAGGACTCACCACTTTTATAATTAATTTCACTGTCACCAACGACTCAACATGCTAAAGTTGAAGGCCAAAATAATTACAAACTACCGTTCTTACTTGGAAAAGACTCGCCGTATCATTGACATTGAACTTCAAGACAAGCATTGCAAATTTGGAAATCAATTTGCAAAAAGTGTTCACAATGCTATATTTAGCTCCAAGTACAAGTCAGTGCAGTTTGAACAACTCCGTAAACGCAGCAAACAGTGCCAAACACGCTTCTGGCAACGGTGGCATCCAGCATACACTTTCATCTGGACGTAGTGCTAGTTTCACACATCGATTGTGCTAGACAAGGTCACATTTGGAGGCTTTATGCTAGGGCAGTGCCGGTCTTCCCCACATGGGTGATTATGCTAGTTATTATGCTAGCATTATCCGCCGGTGCCTAGTTGTGGCCCTTGTGGGTTGGAATTCCAATCTCTACCTTTGTGAGGGAGAGGAGAGTTTGTATATCAGCTCAGTATAAGCATAATATAACCTACTCAGTTGATTATATGGGAAATATAAACCAATATACAGGTTTATATTTCCCATATAATCAACTGGTTAGGTTATTATTATATACGTACACTGAGTCTCGTCCGCCCCAGGATACCTGATAAAGGCTGATTCACTCGCAACTTCTGCTACATGTACTGTATCAGACTATCAGTGCGAGAAAAAACTTTGAAGAAGACGAGTTCGAGCATACGATAATGTATTGTCGTGATTTCTACCCTGCTTTTCATTGAAAAACACTACCTGTATGACCTCCAAACCCTTTGCCATGCAGACCACCAGCACTGATCAGGTGCATTGGACATGACTGTGGTACATGTACAATCATGTAGTTATGCTCCTACCTCCGAAAGGATGCCAAATTATGCTCCAAATTGTCAACCACCAAATTATGCCAATAATCATGCCGGCATAATCCGCCGGTGCCTAGTCAAGTGTCAGTCAGTTCGGCAGGAAACACGAGCTCCAACAACAAGTCGTTTGGCGCAGCCACCTTCTTTGTCTTGACTCTTGTACCAGCGTGATCACCAAAACAATGCAAAATGAAGAAAAAATGTTTGACTTGAAGATTTGTTGGGATTTGAACTCACAACTTCATGGTCAGCAGAGAGCATTCATAACCACAAGGCCAAAAGGAAGGGATAAATCGTGGGTTTTGATAACAAATCGATACTGGCTTCCAGGGCAAGTTATAAACCATGGGAAAAGGCAAGATACCTGGCCGAAATTCTAACTCCTTAACGGCTGGTCCAGTTGTTCTGAAACCGTCACAGAACAATTTGCCGTGCCCTAACAAGCCATTTTACATGTATGTACTTTGTTGTCCAAATTTCCCTTATCTTCATACTTTTTAAGACCCAAACTTGATTGATAATCTTTTTGAACAGGCTGTAGACAGTGCAGTGGTTTTATTGCACTTGTATCTTGATGTTATTTCTAACATCTTTCGATTTACAGTACTTAAAACTTCAGTTTCTTTGGTTGTATCCTTTAGTTCCGTATTTTTCCCACTGATGATAAGAACAAGAAAATCGATTCTGGGTTTTCAATAATATTTTTTGTTATAAATGTCATGTCAAACAAGTAACGTAGTTGCGTGATGTCTGCGGCCTTCATCCTATTCATAGCTACATGTATAAATAATTATTATCTCCACGTAGATTATTTGTAAAGTTCTCTACGGGTATTTATCGAAGAGATCGTAATAATTATTATTATTGTATTTTATTGTACAAAAGATAAAGGACCAAGGAACTACAAGTTACGCTATACTGTCCACTAACACCACCAGTTACTAACAATTCATTAATCAGCTCATGCGATAACATTGCAGGTCACTGACCGACGGTACTGGCATTCTACAACTAACTAGCACATGTTGGATGCGCACTCCAACAGCCTTCCAACTTAAAAGGTTCTAAATTATAGAAATACCGTATTGGAGGGGAAGGTGAGCGCAACCAAGATGAGCACGAGCTGAAAGTCTCAGCTGTGAAGGACGTTGGCGGATGTTCATGCATGTCGATGACGATAATATACTGGCAAGACCATTGGACAAAATAATATAAATGTATAAATTGCAAAGTTGAACTCGGATGGTGAGCCAATATAAAAGTTGGCGGACAATTTGTCATAACTCGTAACATTTTGTCCTTTACCTTTCTTCAGTATAAATTGCATAAATTAATTCTTGGCTCTCCATCCGAGTCCATTATTGTATTGTGTTCTTTACTTACGAATTCTCCATAAGTAATTCCTCCGCGTCTTTAAATTATCGCTTCGCACATCGCAATGTTTGTGACTAAGTCTTGCTTGTCTTAGTCGTTCTGTCGGAATCGCTGGTTTCTGTGTTCAAACATTGCTACGTGTCTATTTACTATGGAAGCCGTGGTGGTCTGGGAGCTCTCGCCCACTCCAAGCAAATTCATTGCACTCTGCACTATTTCGTCCCAGAGCGTGCATATTTTCTCTGGGGTTCGTGCCGGCCCACATCGTTCGCGTGGACATCAGAAAAGACGTCAAGCTCCGGTATAAGAATCCTGGTATTTCTCCTGAATTTGAAATGCTGAAGTCGACGATGGCAAGAACAAAGTGTTCTCAAATTCCTAAAAAAAAACACTACGTGTGGCGCATGTTGCTGCGAAGGTAGTCAAAAAACACTACATGTACGTGTGGCGCATGTTGCTGCGAAGGTAGCAGGTCTGAATACAGTCAACTTCGCCAATAACGACATTCGGCGGGGCATCAGAAAAGTGTCCTTATTCGCGAAGTGTCCTTATAACCGAAGTCCCATTTGAATGTATGTGAACCCATATTTTGTATAGTATGATATGCATATCAAAATCAAGCTCTTGTCTTGCTCTATGTCAATGTGTACTTTATTTTCATACTGCAGTTGCAAGGAACTAAAAATTCAATATGCAAGGAAATGAATTGAAAAATATGCCTTTTTGAGCCATCTATTATTATTATTATTATTTTATTTATTTTACTAGGGTGTTTCCCACAGACCTATGGTCTTCTTACGGGAGCCCCTAGAAAGGTTAAGCATGAACGAACAAATGGGCGATAATCTACAGGGCCAGAGACATGTACATGTACATGTACATGTATGATGATTACTGTACAATCATGTACAACTACATGTACATGTACATTGTATACATAATATAGGTGTGCTGGTAAATCCAACAATTTTGAAGCCAACATTATAAAAGGAAAAAAAGCCCCCCCCCCCCCTTGGCTGCATTTTCTTGCATGTGTGCCTTTTATCACCATAGGTTCTGGTACTTATGCATGACAGGTACATGTACTTGACTGACAGGTACTTGAAATAGCTGTCAAAAGCCCAGAAAGTCGTTATTCAAGCAGTGAATATGACCACGGGGCACTAAAAGCATGTCGCTATACGCGAATTGTCGTTATTCAGATAGTCGTTATATCGTATACAGTTAGATGGGACTTTGCTCTGGGCATGGAAATTCGGTCGTTATTCACGAATTGTCGTTATATCCGCAGTCGTTATTAGCGAAGTTGACTGTACACCAACAAAATCAGTGAAGGCGTGCTCCGATTGGAAAATCGGAGACCTGCAAGCGCTCACAGGTCTTCAGTGGCTGATTCAAAGCACGGCCAGTCGCGCTAGGATTCGCTGTTGCCATGTCGATTGTCATGTGACATGTCAGAATGTACAATCGTCATGTAGTCAGGTAGTTGCGGAACTGCTTTCCCTGGCCTATCCCGCTGGAAAGTCGTTATAATAATTACGGTGCACTTCAAAAATGCTACTAGTTTGCTGTCAAAAAGTGTCATCGCTTGGCTTTCCTCAAATCTAGGACGTGTACGTCACAGCTACAGACACCAGTTGCAGGCCGACTCTGATCCAGAGCACGTGCACGCGAAGTCCTAGATTCTAGTCCCCTGTTCTGCTGGGGGAATGGTTGCATGCAACCTGGAAAGAACCATCGTAAGGACTGTTCTCGACAGCTGAGAGGATATTGCTATTGAGGAGTCCGAACAAAGTTTGCCGTGGCCTGTCAGGTCTCTCCTTGGCCATGGTGGTCTTCTTCATGCTTTTTGGGATTTTTCGAACTAAGAAAAAACACCGTTCAGAGACTCAGTTCAGTGTGTGACTCGACTTGCCAGTTGGGCCGACTGCTCTACTTCAAGTCAGTACTTTTGCACGTGACAGCCCATCAACTATGTCTGGCATCTAGTAGTATCAACTATCATTCTGCTCCCTGCTGTCGTTGTCACGCTTTTGTACAGATCTCCACTGCACTATGACCATGATGACTATGTAGCGCTCGTTCTTCCTTGTCGACAGTCCGTGGCGTTATCAGCTGAGCTCCGCCGGAAGGAGCAAGGTGCGCGCTGAGGATCACCTGTTTCCGCGCAAAGGACGCCCGTCGCCTTCGCAGAAGCGGAAATGTGGACAAGAGACCCGAGGCTTACGCCGGTGAGAGATGGTGACCTGGTGACACCCTGGGCAGAAACGCCTGCCAGCAAATTCAAAATAATTGCGCAGAAATATGAAGAAATGAGATTGTTTTGTCGGAATGGTGTTGGGTGTGTCGTTTTCCCTGTGTTACGCCACCTATTCTGTATTTTCTGTAGCTCTCCGAGGAGGAAGAAAGGTCATCGTCCATCTTCCGCCGTCCGTCAAAGAAAACACCCGTGCCACATACACGATGGCGCGGCGTTCTTCCGAATTCTCCGCTGCTGACGGCAAGGTCAGCGCACGTGTCCGTCAACGACGGCGCGGCGTCTTTATCTTCGCAACGCTCCCGGTGGCACACCATCGACAGTTCGTCGCTGGCGTCGTCCAGCGGTTCCGACAGGTTGGCATCTAGCAGTGTATCGGCGATGACGAATATATCGACGCGAGCGGAGCACACAAATCAGGTACGTACCTACTGCACTGCTTTATCCGATATACACGACTGTCTGTACAATCATGTACATTAATTTTGAATTTTTGCATTTATTTTATTATAATTATTTCAAGGATTACCCGGGCCAGAGGCTTTAGGCCTGTGAAGGAGATCTCCTACTCAGATACAGTTCATGATTCGGGAAAGAGTATAAGTGCAAAGAAAGAAAAGGCAAAGAAAAGAAGCAGGCACAGCAACTGCGCAAGTCGAGGTGTCGGAATACACAAATCCTGCACTGTAATGCTGATGCGGACATTGAAATCCGTTGAGAAGGGAAGCAGCCACGGGACGCTGGCCGTACAGACATGTAGCACTGCCGGTCCATTTTTTTGGTGTTGCAGTGCGCATACGTGCACAGGAGGGGTTCCAAGAAGAAACCAGGCACTGCCCCAACTTTGAAATTTTCGTAGCTCTGAACAGCATACGTTTCAATGAGGCAGGG